TTGGATTAGATTCTGGAGCGAAGATCGTTTATTTTTTTCTAGAGTAAATAGACTCATTCCTCCCATAACAGCAGACTTCACACTAATAATAAAATTTTCTCGAATATCTGCTCTAATTGCTAAGACAGATAAAGGCAGAATTAAGGCTGGATAGTAGAAGTCGGCTAGGAAATCTAATTTGAATTCTCCAACATATATAGTCCCAATATCTTCTAAATAATCTGAAAGTCTATCAACATATTTATAACCTTAACGAATCAACTTCTGGGATAGCTTTGGGGTGATCCATCGGCCAGTTAGTATATTAAGTACTGTTTTTTTCGTGTCCATAGAAATGAAATAGTATGATGTGGTATATATTTTTCGTTTATGATATACTTTTTCCACCCAAGTTCAATTCGGATTTTTCATTTTGAAATTCGATTCTATAATGAGGAAGGTGCAAGAATATAATAAATGGATCGTCTTACCTGCCCACATATTAGAAAGGATGGAAGCACTTGTAGACAAGTCTGCACCTGCTTGGCAGGATGTTCTCTTCACTGGAAATCGGGTGCAAATAATATGCTAAAATCTCCATGTAGAATATGCGATAAACCTACATTATCTTATATGGGCTATTGCTCCAAGCATGCCAAAAAAATTTATCGTCGCCTTAAAAGAGAGAGACAACAAATAAGTTTGGCATAATAATGATGCCTACTTGTATGATGGTCGGTTACTTTAGTAAACCCCTATTAATAAAAATTTTCTTGGCACTTCTGAGACGGCCCGTCCTGGAAATTTTTTGGTAATTTTCAGAATATTAAACAATTCTTTTCATTATATAAAATTATTGATAATGTCAGTTAACGAAGCTAACCCATCCGAGCTTGAAGTATTAAGACAGCATATCATTGATCTAGAGACTGAAAACAGTAATATTAAGGCTGAGAAAGCTGAACTTGAAGCTAGAGATGCTGAGCTTAAGGCCAGAATTGAGAAGTTAGAAAAAAATAAAGGAGTTACCACCAAACTTGAGTCTGAGAATGCTGAGCTTAAAGCTAAAGTTGCGAAATTAGAGAAGGATTACAAGCAAATGCAAAATAATAATATTACTAAGGTAACTATTTCTCCTAACAATGGTTCACCTAACTTTAATTCTATTACAAAACAAATATCAGAGAGCAAACAGGGTATGGAAATGGATACTTCATTACCAAAAGAAGCGATACCAGAAGTTTTACCTCCCAGCTCTAAGCCATCGAAGGAAAAGGAGATAGATTCTTTCCTGGACGAAGTATATAAGAAAAAGGTTAGTAATGATATTAGGCAGAGAAATTGGGAAAAGAAATATCAAGCCCAAGAATCTCTTCCAACACATTCCGAAGAGAAAATGCCTTAAAAGATCAAGTGTCCTACCTCTGATCCTGCGATCCATGATCAAAAAAGAGTTATCGGGGGTAGCAGGTCATATAAAAAAAAAGAAATGGATGAACTCAAGCATGAATTATTCAATCCCACTTCAAAATCTGATAGTTCATCCTCTATAAACTATAATAATATGTCCGAAATTTTTGAGACGGCCCGTCCCAGAAAAGTTATCTATGACAGCATTGATGAAGCCTCACAACATCTAGCTCAGTTATGTGACAAAGCCATTGATACCGAAGATAGGGCAAATCGAGCTAATCAGGAAGAAATTTTATGTTGATGCCTCTACTGGAAGGATTTCAGAGATCAGTTTGATGAAATTATCAGAAGCAATAGTGGTAAATTTGGTAAAAAGAAGGCAAGAAGTATGCTTTATGACACCATCACAGAACAGCTTTCTATCCTCCACAAGAAAAGATCACAAGAATTGGAGCTAAAAGTTAGGGTTGTATCATAGAATAGCTTGCGTAAGAAAACCCAGAGAGCTGAAAAAAACCATAAATTATTCGAAAAAGTGGGTCTAGATAAGATCAAATATATTAATTCATATAGCGCAAATTCCATTTCAGAGCTTACTAATACGCAATTTCAAGAGATCATAGATTATGGTATATCTTTGGAAAAGTTGTCTCCAGAAGCTGGTTATATGTCTGAAATTTCTGAGACAGCCCGTCCCGGAAAAAATTGTCTAAAGTAAATGTACCATCTACATCTCAAATCACTCTAGCTAAAGCAGATGATAATAATCTCACAGATCTCAAAAAGGAAGATTTCTGTGGCGGTGAGGTGTTGATCGCAAATGTATTGTCTGTATCTCAATCTTATGACCGCACATATTTTCACAACAAGATATTGAATCAATATCCTAATCTATATAGAGAATTTAGTAGTGAAAATTTTGATTATTATAGAATTACTGATAATATATCATATCCATTATGCAAACTAGGTCATGATGATGAAGAAAGTATAGAAGGTAGATATAAAGCTGAATCCTATTTTATTAAATATGAACAGTGCGAAATTGAGATAGTTGCATAGTCTTGTCAATTTGGCCAGAGTCGCTTCGCATAACCCTATATTTGTTCACGCTTCATTGTGATATTTTTAGAGGGCTAATTTATGTCAACTATTGTTTACTGTAATTTAAACTGATTTGCAATCATATAAAAAGGCAATATAAGCAAGTCCGATAAAATATTAACCCCTTTGTATCTGGATTGGCATGTCAAATTAACTGGTTTATCAAGAGTTTTGACAGATAAGATCTGTTCCAATTTATACAAAAAATATAAAAGAGAAACGGGACTTGAGCCATGGCAATTATCAGGAGATCACCTCATAAATTCGAAGCCAGAAAACAAAGTATCAGATTTATCTTTTTTTGAGCAATGTGAAGAAAAAGAGCCTATCATGTTCGAAGCCAAACCTGATTCAGAGTTAATTATCAAATCTGTGTTAGAGCATTTCACATACTTGAAATTCCGAAATAGTTTTAGAGGAATTAATAATTATAGTTTTGCATCATCTCAGTCGTGGAGCTCATCATGCCCTATTTGCAATGGAAAACATAGGAATTATAGATTACATGGCGAATGGTACTGCGAAAATGGGAATCAGCTCCCTTATGATCCCGAATTAGCGAAGTTGTATTCCCAAGATAAGTTGGAATATTGTCTTACCTGCAATACTTCAAGCAATAAACTCAAGTTCGCAATTGTAGCATAAAGTTTGTCAAGCTAGTCCTGCATTTGTATTTATTCTTTCATCGCTTGTATGTATTAATAAAGTACCATGAATATTCTTCTCGCTTATCACCTAATTTGTAAAAAGTAGTGATGTCAGAGACAGTGGCTAAAGATGTATAACTTATCGATTGATAAGTTAGATCAATTTGTGCGACATCAATTTCAGCTTCCACTATTTTGAGACATTTACTAATTTCTTCTCATATTTTCTATTGGTTGAAATTATTTGTGATTGTTTACATGTTACTGTCTTTTTTAAAATATGACATTTCGGTTAGGGCTAGTGTTAAGTTTAGTGGGCGAAGTTATACCAAAGTTTTGCAAGAAATTTTTTCGCTAGTGCATGAAAGGCTTAGGTAATACTTCAAGATTAATGTGATTTTTCATTGTTTTGTTAATTTTCACATTACACCAGATCTTGTCCCCGTGATTGATGCTGATTGGCTAGAATAGAAAGTGTGGAGAAAAATTAGTAAATGCTATTTTGAGTCCCTATCTCGTCTATAGGTAATTCAACAATGCCTGTTGCAATTCTTGGTATACAAATCATACTTTGGTGTTTTGATGTACAAAATAATTCTAAATTCAAAGTCGTTATCGGAGATGGTAATGATATTGACGACCTCAAGGAAGCTATTAAAGAAAAATGTGAATATGGTTTTGCTTCTCACCTGCTTAAACTGTGGAGAGTTAACACGGATCAAACTATTTTCGAAGAATCACTAAATAATGAATTAAAAGATACAGCAAAAACAATTGGAGAAACTTTTTGTGGTGTCCAAGGAGGTAACATTCGAGTTGTAGTTAGAGCTCCTGATACTGGTAAGTGAGTCACAACAAGCTTAGTCAACGCGATATAGCGTAATTTTTTTCACCTTCTCTCGCCCACACCATGTTATAATACCAAATACTTACTTATTCTTGTGCTTTTCTTTTCTGCTTCTTATCGCCAAATCTGCCCAAAAAACACATTTGCGTTATTGTAGAGCAACTCAGTGCCACCGGTAAGTGAGTCATAATAAATTAATCAAAGCGAGTGAATATGTTATGGCTTAACTTTTTGATTTGTTGTTATATTTCTGTCTTTCAAAATTTAACCAATATTTTATTTCACTTTCAGGTGGAGAACAAGGTAATTTTTCTGATGTGATTTAAAAATGTTGATTATGCCTTAATGCTTTATTTATCTTACAGAATTAAAGAGACATATCGATGAAATTGCCGATAAAATTAATTCCAAAGTGGACGGGCTGAATGATGAAATGCGTGGGCTGAATCGTGAAGTGAAGAGGGTATGTTTTGCTGCGGATGCATGGTATAGTGCTATAGGTATGTTATTCGCCTAGTTTTTTAACTATTTCTGGAAATTTCATTAACAATTTGTGTTTAGGTACTTTTACAAAAACTGAAAAGGGTAAATTTGTGCAAGAAAGAGGTGTTAAAATTCAGTTTCATCTTGATTTAACCAAAAGTTTCAAAACAAAGTCACCTGGAAAGTTTTATATCTGTCTAACATGAGCAAGAACGCAAATCCAACAGAAGAAAAAGTACAAGATTACTTTATAGATGAATGTAAGGCATTCGAAAATTATGTAAATATACAAAACAAACTTATTGTCAGAGACACACATTTTTCACCGTTGCTGGATACTCGAAAACCAGATTTTGTATTCATTCCAAGCAATTCTTCTTTGGATCCGTTAAGTGTTGTAGCCATTGGCAAGATCAAGAAGCAAGTTGGTGAAAGCTTTAGCAACGCAAATATAGGACATGCAATATCATTTAGTGAAAAAATACTCCAACTTCAGCCATGACGAAACTATGTGTATGTAGTGTTGACAGATTGTATCATAATCAATATATATAGAGTAAATAGAAATAAAAACTACTCAGAAAAATATACCCAGTTCACATATAACTATATAAAAAGTGAATATTTAACATACAACACACAAGCTAGTAGTCTTTCGAAAGGGTGGAGATACCTGGTAACAATAATAGAAAGCTCTCCAGAAAGATTGGGATAGGTTGAACCATCATTGAAATTTGGCGAAGAAACTGTAAAACTGGTTCGATCTATTGGTGTAGGCAGAACTAGTGTTGTGTATGAAGGAATATACAAAGACATATCTGTGGCCGTGAAAATGATGAAAAAGGCAAATTATTTGTCTTGCATTGAAAGAGAAAGAGCTGTATTGGAAGAACTTTCGAAGTTGGATTCACCTCATATTCCCAAAATTCTTTTTTACGATAAGAATACTCTTGTCATGACTCCTCTTGGTAAGAGAATTAATAATTTGCAAAAAACAGATATCAAAGATATAATCAACACTCTCAAACATGTGCATTCATATGAATATGTATATAGGGATCTTCGAAAATATAATTATCTTCGTAATTTAGATGATTCGAAGAAAACTATTTTAATTATTGACTGGGGCTATAGCACAAGAAATCGCGAAGACACCGCATTTGTGGGGGCACTTGAATGCATGCCGGATGAAGTCCTGGAATCATTAACTAATGAGGAAAAT